CCAAAGTTCACTTTGCTAGACATGGAATAGCAGATATGGTAACAGACAATGGACCTCAATACACAAGTCAGGAATTTCAGAACTTCAAACAAGATTGGCAATTTGTACATATAACCAGCTCACCTCTACACAGTCAGAGCAATGGTAAGGCAGAGTCTGCAGTGAAGATCGCAAAAAAGCTAGTCAAGAAGGGAGTACGAGACGGCAATATCTGGTCGTGTATCTCCCTTGCACGTAGTCTCAGGTACATCCATCGGCGGTTGGCACTCAGTCTCAATCTTGTCAACATCTGTTGATTGACGAGTGTAATCTTTTCGTATGAATTTCCTATTTCTCCTGTAGACACCCTTTTCAGTCTGCACTAAGTAAGAGCGAGGTCCTACTTTCCCAATGCACGATCCCTTACTCCAGGGCTGTTTCGGGTTAGGTGGTTGCAAGCGAATCGTTTCACCTACTTCTAGCTCTGGAAGCGGTTTTGCTGTCTTGTCATAGTAAAGTTTTGCTCGCTGTCTCCTCCTCTTTATCTCATCTTCCACACCATCACACAGTTCAGGTCGTAATAACCCTTCAGCAGTGGGCATCAGTGTTCTCGTACGACGTGACATCAGTTTCTGGGCTGGGCTTCGTCCACTCGCGTCTGGCGTGTTTCGCCATTCTAGTAATGCCATCTGAATATCAATATTGTCTCGTACTCCCTTCTTGACTAGCTTTTTTGCGATCTTCACTGCAGACTCTGCCTTACCATTGCTCTGACTGTGTAGAGGTGAGCTGGTTATATGTACAAATTGCCAATCTTGTTTGAAGTTCTGAAATTCCTGACTTGTGTATTGAGGTCCATTGTCTGTTACCATATCTGCTATTCCATGTCTAGCAAAGTGAACTTTGGTTGCCTCTATCACCGACTCGCTGGATGTGTTTTCCATCTTATCCAGCTCGAAGTAATCACTGTAATAATCTACCGTCACAAGATAACTTTCTCCGTTGAGTTGAAACAGATCTTGTCCAACTTTTGACCATGGTAGTTTAGGAATCTCGTGCGTCATTAGTGGCTCTTTCTGCTGCTTCGACAGAAATTCATTGCATGTGGCACACGATTTCACACTCTCCCTTATATCGTTAGCCATGCCTGGCCAGAACAACACATCTCTGGCACGACGAATGCACGCTTCAGAACCCAGGTGACTGGTATGTGAGCGAGATATCATTTGCGATCTCATGCTCACTGGGACTAGTACTCTCATGCCCTTATATATCACACCATCCTGCATGATCAAATCTTCCTTGCAATTCCAATACTCTCTAATGCACTCCGGCACTTCTTGACGTAGTTGCGGCCATCCTGTCATGACTGTACTCATCAACGTCTGTAATGCTGCATCGTTACTCGTACAAGCCTTGATCTGCACGTGCGTACTCCCTGATAAGCGCATGTAGTCGACTTGTTTGATCTGGGCCATTTCTTCAAACAGCTTCTCTTCTCTAGCTAGCTGAAATATTTGATAATCCACTAGCGAATCCTTATGCTTGCCCTCATCATCTAGATATGCTCTGCTCAGCAGATCAGCAATGTACATCTTGCATCCTGGTATATATTCAACCTTCAGATTGTACTTCTGCAAGCGCAGTAGCATTCTCTGTAGTCGTTTTGACACCACTTCTGACACCATGTTTATCTTGTCTATATTCATTTATAAAGAAATCTTATTAAAACACAATCGACACGTTGTATAGTGCAACTGGTTTACTCCTCCATACTGCCAAGCACCCTGAGTCGGCACGCATACAAGTGGCGCCACCTCTTGGTGTATATAACAACATCCACAACACTGTCGACATAACAAGTCTCTCAGACCAAACAAACTCTGAAGGTGGATCATTTGCACGGTCAGTATTCAGTTAGACCTCATGATCTGATGGTACAACATTATATCTAAAAAAGTTTTGAACAAAACCTCTGACATTCGACATGGAACACTTTAAAGTTTTGTATTACAAAAGAAGATATCAAGTATACTAATTCATCATGAATAATTTCACGTGGTAAAATGAAATCCTGCGACATTAATCTGCAATAATTCATACCTCATCGACGATTGCGCATGTAAACACTTGTCCTACTTCGGTTTGTCTATGCTTCAAGATGTTAAGAATACTGCTTCCACATCCACACAGCGTGCATCCAATGATATCAGCTCGAGTAAGCACAAAAGACCGCCACTTCATACCTTCACCTCCACCAGGCATTCCTACCATCTACGCAGCAAACATGCAAATAAATAAAATCCGAACTGAACAAAAGAACTTTGTGTCAGCAACAAATAAAACAAGTGCCGCGGAGCGACAGCGCTCATCTAACGTCTACTGCGGTGACTCTGTGGTGGAGTGGTGGGATTCTAGTAAACCCTGTTAGTCCCAAATGTGTTCAGCATAGCGACGGCCGAAACAGTGGAATGCACAGGGTGGTACAGAGACCTTCCTCAAAGAATGTTCGTTGGGATCATTATGAAGTTGCCACGAGATGGCGCGTACGTTAAGTGTCTCAGATAAAAGATGGAAGTCCCTCGTACGTAGTAGCAACAACTATTTGCAAGACAGAATAGGTAAGCACTCATCCATTTACCTACACAAGCCTACAGGCTGGCAATAGAGAGCTGCCACCTGTAACAATTAACGCAGGCAAAAACTACACAGTACTATCACCACCACATGCACTGGCAGTAGCCACTGGCAGTGGCATAGTTACATGTAACATATGACAGTACAGAATGCCATAAGAAATTATACGATTTATGAGCATAAACCTTCTTAACCAAATTTAGCGTTTTGAAATTTCACTGTGACATTGTAGCCTCATACATCCAGGCATGTATAGATTCTACTAGCAAACGCCGGCAGTCAAATTCTTTCTAACAGACAGTCAACAAATCCATGTTTAACCTCCTCTGAGGGTCAAAAGGTTACGGACCACTTACTCTTCGCATGTCAGCAGAAAGTAGATTTCATGGTCCTTTCAATAATGCCATAAAAATGCTAGGGCACCGCTGAAACAAAAAGTTTTTCAATCGCTCCGTCAGACCATGTGTCCTAAGAAAATGTCTAAAACCTCCCTGTGCCATTGACCTTTGACCTGTGACCTCGAATTTCGGCACAGTGATGGCTTTTCCTACCATGATGCTATACACCAACTATCACGAGCCTAGGTCGAGCCGTTTAGATTTGTGCCGGCAATTCTGCATTTCCTCCTATACCTTAAGTTAAGGAGTGAATGTTCCCCTTCTTTTACACCTCTTGACCTTTGACCTTTGACCCCAGCTTCGACATCCAACTCGTTTTGACGATTCCCCCAATGTGCCGAATATCGTGACCGTACTCGAGCGGTTAAGATTTGTGCCAACTGTTGACAGACGGACGGACGGACGGACGGACGGACGGACGGACGACGGACGGACGGACGGACGGACAATCATGCAATTCTTACAAGCTGCATCTGACTATGTCAGATGAGCTAATAAATACATTAAAAAAAAATTACAAGAAATGAAAGTGTCAATGACACTGTAGCTCACCTTAGGTGTGATAGAAGAGGGAGGGAGGGGATATATAAAGCAAAAGTATATATGGGAGAACTCCCATTATATAGCATATCTCCTATTATATACTCTTGATAATGATATATGCATAAGTTTTGATGCGAAAATAAATGTTTCAGATCTGAAAGTCTGAAATCTGACGAGAGAAGCGCTACGCCTAAATGATCGCCATTTTAGTTTCGAATATCGCGTAAATAAAAACAATAAAATATTCCAGTCAAATTACTGTAACAAAGAATCTAAACACAAATATTACACGTATATAGGTATGATTGTAGAGTTGTTGACCAGTTAGCGAAATAAACGTAATAGGACGTTGTCATCTCTCCATAGGAGTAACAACTGTCCATAGGATTTAACAAAATCGAGTGAATTTAGATGGCCATTTTTCATTTTTGCAAAAAGTGGGCGTGGCTCGAAAGTGGTCGACTGGCGTGCTACAAATAGAATTCAAATCTCTCCCATAGGAGTAACAACTGTATTCAATTTGAAACATGTGGGTCAAAGGTTCTTTTAGTTATCATTGACCGTAGGCAGACACTGAAATGCAGTGAAATTGCCAAAACTACCGAATTTGCATAATTAAAAAAAAAAATATCAAAAGCCGTGTGATATGTTTTGGTGCTAGTCCTCATTCATTCACATATATACCAGAAATGAGCAAAATCCATTGAACCTGAACTGACTTATGGCCATTTCCATTTTTGCCAAAAAGTGGACGTGGCTCGAATGTAGGTCGACTGGCGTGCTCCAAAATAGGACGTTCAAACCTCTCCCATAGGAGTAACAACTACATGCAATTTTAAAACATGTGGATCAAATCCTTCTTGAGTTATCGTTGACCGTAGGCAGACACTGAAATGCATAGTAAAATTGCCAAAATCTACCTAATTTGCATAATTAAAAAAATAATTAAAAACCTGTGTGATATGTTTTGGGGCCAGTCCTCATTCCTTCACATACCAGAAATGAGCAAAATCCATTGAACCTGAACTGACTTATGGCCATTTCCATTTTTGCCAAAAAGTGGACGTGGCTCGAATGTAGGTCGACTGGCATGCTCCAGAATAGGACGTTCAAACCTCTCCCATAGGAGTAACAACTATATGCAATTTGAAACATGTGGGTCAAACGGTTCTTGAGTTATCGTTGACCGTAGCCAAATGTTGACGGACGGACGGACGGACGGACATACAACGGACGACACCCCATGGCAATAGCTCATCTTGACGATGTCAAGGCGAGCTATAAAATGGGTCATAGAATCCCACACGATGGGAATTGTAGCATGACACACATGCTGGTGAGAGACGGTATGCAAATTCCCCGCACAGTAAGCGAAATGTACAACAAAATACATCGTGTTGACAATAAAGAACTGGGGGAGACTTTAGATTCCAACGTGTATGCAGTTAGCCTTGCCTGACAGACATGCTGGTACGGCCACGTTCGAGTGAGATGTGTACCTTGTTTTTTTCGGCGTTCAAGCTTTTCAGACGCAACACAAGCTTGTCGATCTCCTTCGCCTTTTTGCGATCACACTCCTGCCTGAAAGCAGCGATGTGCGTCGTCAGTCTGTGAATCTCAGCGTCGACGCTTTTGATGACTCCCGCTTTGTCTGTAAGTGAACGACAGGTGTTGCACTGACGTGAGCGGTGGGAGAGTGCAATGCGAGAGAAACCCACAGCAAAAATATAATGGGGTTTATAGAAATGATCTTTTTTGCCAGGCAGCAAGTACTTTCTCCCTTCCTCTCTTCCTCCCTCCCTGCACGTACACACCTTTCATTCTGGCTCGCTCAACCTGGGCGTCGAGTGAGATGCAATGCACGTCGGCGTGCATGTGTTTCGTCTTGCCGATGCGTAGCAGCGACAGCGCCCCCTGGGTGGGGCAGCCGGTGCGGCGCTTCATGCGTTCGCGGTCGAGCAGACGCTGCATTAGGAGGTCCAGCGCGTTGTTCGATGGAGCGGTCAGCAAGATCTTCGGCCGCCTGTCCACGGGCGCCTGCAATGAGAATGCCACCTGGTGCTGAATCACAAACGTGCAGCCATTTCACTTTTTTCACTTGGTAGGATGGAGGCGTGTGGCATTACGTTAACCCAAGGCAGCGAGTGAATTATAGTTTTGGTTTCCAATCTCTGTGATCCTAGTGGACAATATTTCCTTGCTGCCGTGGATAGATACAAACACAGGGTGAATTGCCAACAAGCACATACACGAGACACTACCCTACTATACTATCCATACAGGATCTCGCAAATTAGCTTCAGCTTCAAAGGCACAGTGGACCCGATGTGCGTTAAAGGTCTGGGAAAATCTCGTGTCACACGCAGCCCTTGTAGAGGAAGCCTGTAATGAAGCAAATTCAGTCATACTTATTAAATTTACACCGGCAGATTCGGTGACAGGGACTGGCCTCGGGCGACTAATCAGTCACCCACCTCAGTAGTGTCAAGGCAGTGGGACAGTGGTCACTGCCCCCCCCCATCGAAAGTTGTGAAAGCGATCCATGTTATGTGGGCCAAACGCGTGACTTACTTAAGTCACGTGGTTCGGCGAGAATTATATAAAAAGGCCCATTTTAGAACAGAAAAGTAGAGTCGCCTTCGCTAGATGTGAGTATAGTAGCTTGCCTTGTCTAATTGTATTTGTGTGTAAACTACTTTGATACTGTGTGTAAACTACTTTGAGACTGGTAAACTACTTTGATACGGTTGATTGTACAGTGTATATTGTGCTGTGATTATTGTTTAGATTACAACCCGTGTACGCGCCATGCCCCTAGAGGGATTATAATATTTGTGTATTACTCGGTAAAGGATTAATAGAACTAATTGTTGTACGTTACATCTTGTTTCTGTCATACGTTATTCACGTCTGTCTATTAATCGTGCTATCTAGTGGTACATCTTACACGCGCCAAAGGTCACGAACCTGGTACACTATACGACACAAGCCTCATTACAACTAGTGCCGTGAAAGCTTTTGGTAAGATAGCATAATTATTAGACAGATATTGTATGTTGCTAACGTGTTGTTGTGTTTTCTGGTTTAAAATTAAATCCATTAAAATGCAACTTTATAAAGCAGAACGTACGTTACTTGGGTCATATTATATCGCCCCAAGGGATCAAACCTGATCCAGAAAAAATAGATGCCATTAAAAACTTAAAACCACCCGCCACCATAAAACAAGTAAGATCGTTTCTCGGGATGGCTTTCCTATTATAGAGCGCACATAAAGGATTTTTCTAAAATAGCAATGCCATTAACTATGTTAACTAAAAAAACACGCAAAATTTATTTGGGGTGAACAGGCTAAACTAGCATTCCAACACTTAAAGGCTTCACTAATATCAGCTCCGATTCTCGCGTACCCAGATATACATAAACAGTATAAGCTATATACCGATGCGAGTAATCACGCGGTAGGTGCAGTACTAGCCCAAGATAATCCTCAGGGCAAGGAAATTGTTATATACTATCTCAGCCATCAGTTAACCCCTACACAATGTTGTTGGTCGGCAATGAATCGTGAAGCCTGTGCATTAATTTACGCCTTGCAGAAGCTTCGACATTATCTCGCTGAGCTTCTTTCAAGGTCATCACCGATCATAAGTGTTTAGAGTTCACTCTAAAAAGTCCTACATTGAAAGATCCCCGGTTATTACGTTGGGCAATGATAATCAGCAAATTTCAGCCGTTTATAAAGTATACGTCAGTACTGTCAAGGCTCACTAATCACGCGACTCAAATAGACGAAGGACAAACAATGGACTCACACGGCATGCAATCCAAGAAACCGGTCACCCCAGTAAACAACAGGCAACACCTAGCGCAGGTAAACAACGCTTTGGAACCAACTTCCATTCATTATATCCAACAAAGTGAAAGTGACGTGGACAGCGAGAATGAGGAGACACGCCCGCCGGCATTATGATCAGAAGCAATCAAGGCTCAGCAAGACAGCAACTCCACGGTCTATCTCATACGCACCACGCTCACATCTCAAGCTACAACTATCAAGGATTTAAAGATATTATCATCGTACTTCATCGACAAAGATGACTTACTCTATCATATCCCAAAAGAAGGCGAGGTCGAAGCGTAACTAGTAATCCCCGAGAAATTTGCTACAGCAATTATAGCAGCACATCATGACGATAAATTCGGCGCGCATTTTGGATTTGCAAGAACCTATAATACCATACGGCAACGATACCATAGCAAGATGTATGTCACCATTAAGGACTATATTAACAAATGTATCGTATGTAAATCAAAGAAACTAATGTACCTTCGCCCCTCGGCGCAGCTCCGATTCCAAATGCACCTTTCGAAATTTTATCTGTTGATACCGTCGAGTACCCTATCACACCACGTGGCAATAGATACATTATTCATTTTCACGACCAACTATCACAGTGGCCAGAATGTTTTCCAGTAAAAAATAAATCGGCAGCGACAGTTGCGGATCTGTTGATTAATGAGATAATCCCACTACACTCTTGCCCTAAAATTCTACTTTCAGATAATGGGAAACAATATGTCAATGCACTAATGACTAAACTAACAACACATTTTAAAATCCAAGCTGTAAAATGTGCTCCATACCACCCAGTTTCTAACACCTCATGCGAACGCTTCCATCGAGTTATGAATTCGTTTATCGCGAAATATGTCGACCCAGCACAGAATAATTGGGACCTATTACTCCCCTCTTTATTGGCGGCATATCGTATGAGTATTCATTAAACCACACAGCATTCACCTTTTTACCTTTTATACTCTAGGCCCCCTGTATTTCCCCTTGATAACGTATTATTACCTAGATGTAAAGGTTATGATGAGGACCCACTTGCGCAGAACATAGAAAGATTTCATCACGCATATTCACATCTGAAGGAGGCAACAAGAAAGGTCAGAAAAAGAAATAAGAGGCTCTACGATAGGAAAGCTAGGGCACACAAATTCAAGGTTGGAGATGCTGTATATTACCACGATCCAACATTGAAGCCAGACACAACTTCGAAGCTAGTATCTCCTTGGAAACCACATTTCACCGTTATTAAAGTCATAACGCCCAAGAAATCTTTGCTGCAACATGAGACAACAAGACGCGAGATAACAGCGCATGTCGCCAATCTCCGCGCAGCTCATCCATATTTGCGTTGGGATCAGCCCAATAAAGAAGCCCACGAACAACAAGAGCAACAGCCACAGGAAAAACCTACGAGAAAGCAGCCATTGCGATTAGCAATGCGCGCATACCCGGCGCACCCTCATCCCTGGATAGCTCCACCGAGGATTCAGATGATGAGCACCTACAGGAGCAAGCATCGTCTGACAATTATTTTAGCAAGAGTGACCTCATGCCCTTAGCAAGGTTATTGCCGGGACACTCTATCCAGGAAGCCGCTCATCCGACTTCCGCTGAATAAGAACAAGTTAAATAAACTGGACTCAATTAGCGTCAAACAGCCAAGTGCCTTGGTAGGAGTGCACACCTACCAGGTTGTTGAAGCCGTGCAATGAGCTCAAAGTAGTAATTAGATCAACTACTAATGGTATTTCTTTCATAAACCATTCCTACACACATACAACAACAACCTGTGTTTGCGCAGCATAGGAGGAGTACTGGAGGAGCAGTATTGTATCAAACACTGAGAGTTCATAGCACCTCGTTATTTTAGTCTTCGTTTATTTTTTTATTTTTTTTTTATTTTTTCCAGCCGTACTACAGTACTACAGCAGGATTACTATATAAAACACACAGATATATTATGTCAGGGATTTAACTGATTATGCGTTAGCGTTATTTCTAAAGCACGACCGATAAGTCCAATAACATTGTCAATGCAGACTTCATCTCTTGTCTCATCCTAAACATAAATCTTATATCGGGAACGATAATTGGGTAATTTCGCCGATAAAGAAATTTCGCTACCCAACTATATAGCACCAGGCAACCCAACCACTACCCCCCTCCCCCACACACACACATTGCACATTCCAGACCAAACTATTTTGTAAAATGATGCGCAGACTCTGACTGATTTGGTATTTTCAGGCATAGACATGCACAAGCGTCAAAAAAGGCATGATTTAAATTTCCTATTTGAGTTCACAATGCAACGTGTTATAATTTTATGTGATGATTTCATTTGTGTTTACTTTCAAACGTACTATAGGTTATGTATTGATATCATTTTTGTTTACGACGTGTTACACTTTTATTTTATGCTTGCATTTTTGTTTCATTAAAATTTCGTTTTTTTATCTATGTATTTTTTATATATATGTATATTACTTTACCTTTTTTTTTGGTAACTACATGATTACGGTTTCTTATACATGTAGAACTTGTTCAAATGCGTTATTATGTCACCTTCAAATTTGTTTTTTCGATTTTTTGTTTACGCTATTCACGATCAGTGAATAATCCTATGTTTATGAGTTTTTAACAGCAATTCCGTCTCGTCACTACTTGTGCTAACACCGTGGATGCAAACTACAACAATGTGATCATACTCAAACGATTCTAACCGTGGGAAAACACATCCAACATCAGTCACTACGTTGCTGTTGAGTATTATCCGTATGACTCGCTACCTCGCATCGTGCGTTGCATTATAACGCTCATGACGTCTAATCGTTCTCTACTCTTCCACCAAGTCCTTACCACAGCAACAACTATGGAAAAGAATCTCGTCATGTCACCTGCTGAGATGGCCATAATCTCCACCGCCCTTGAGGCAGCCGACGCAGCAGCAACTCTTGCGTGGAGCGGCACCCGAGAAGGGGAGGAGCCATCCCAAGAGGCAGTGACACCACCCTCCTCCTTCAGCTTTTCCGGTTGTCGGGACCCGTCCTACACCTGGGACGATTACTACAGGGACATTAAACATTGGCATCGCACAATACCGGATACCTTGATCTTCTGGAGTGAGGACTAGGACCAATACATATCCCGGCCACGTCCCTCGGAACATCAACGGCGACGACGACGACTATAGCACGCCAGCGCAACAACACTGAGCGACGGAGATGCACAAGAGTACAGCAACTCCGACAGACAGAGACGCCCACGGAGCCTACCACGGAGACGCCCACGGAGACACCCAGAGCCAACCACGGAAACGCCCACGGAGCCTACCACAGAGACGCCCACGGAGCCTACCACAGAGACGCCCACGGAGCCTACCACGGAGACACCCACAAATCCAGCCACGGAGATGTACCTGCGGACAACTGAGGACAGCGGTCGTCGAACGACGCATTAATTAAGGATTAGTTAAGCTTAGTTAAGTTTTTTTTTGTAACTCTAGTTTTCATTAACATTTTTAGCAAGGGTCAGCACACACTATTTACTCAACAAAAATTCTCAAAAAACAAAACCAAATATAAAATATGAAATTATAAAAAACATTAATATAAGAAAAATATACAACGTAGAATTGAGCAACTTTTTTAATGATATATATAGATAAACGTACAAATAATACTAACCTTCAAGTTGTTCGCCGTAAGATAACAGCTCACAACTTTTCATAGGTAGGGGGTAATGTAATGAAGCAAATTCAGTCATACTTATTAGAATTTACACCGGCAGATTCGGTGACAGGGACTGGCCTCGGGCGACTATTCACACACGCACGCATGCATACGCACATGCACACGCACGCACACATGCACATGCATGCACACACTTGCATGCACACACATGCGCACGCACGAATGCACGCACGCACGTGCTGCATTATGTGCACGATAATGTCACTGCTACGGTTCGGTTACGTGTATCAACACACACACACACACACGAGACGACTTACGTTCTTGAAGATGTTATCGATGAGATGCTGTATGGTGAGGCTCTTGCCCGTGCCCGGCGGCCCTTGAATGAGGCAGATCTTCGGCGCGTGCGAGCGGACAGCTGTTGTCACGCCGACAACGATGGCCTGCTGTGATTCGTTCAAAATCGTCTGCCGAAATAAAAGCAAAACTTACAAAGGCCATCGTGCCAGAAGACTAGACAACTGACAACACACAGGACGAGTACAAGCGTGGGCAGTAAAGCTGGCGAGATCGTAGTTGGTATCGTGTATTGAAATCCGATCGAACAACAGTACACTGGGCGAGTGCAAGTGTGGGCAGCAGAGATGGCAAGATTGTAGTTAGCATTGTGAATTGACATCTGACCGCGCCACATCAGAATGGACAATTACAAGCGTGGGCAGCAAAGCTGACGCGATTGTAGTTGGTAGCGTGTGTTAAAGTCCAATGACGCCGCACCTCCTGCTGTGATACCACGCAAACTGACTCACCCCTCTGTCAGTGCAAGATAACCACACCCCCTTATATATTGTTGCTCAGTTGGTCAAACCAAACGCCTGTCACAGTCCTTGTGTTTTGGAAAAGGCAGGCGAGTGAAAAATCACACACTTTGGCTCGCCGATTTGCATCCGAGTGCGCGTAGGACACGAGGCAAACTAGGTGGGGTTCGGGGGCATGCCCCCCCTCGGAAAAAAATTTGAAATCTATACTTCATGAAATGCCATTTCCAGCATTTTGGGATAAAAATTAGCTCTGCATTTGTACTCTTAATTTTGACATTTTTTATGTGATTTTTTTTCATCTAACAAAATATTAGTTCTTGAACATGTGGATAACTTGAATCACACATTTAGCATGTTTAGTCAAAAAGGAACAACACTCAATTTTTCAAAGCAGACTATTAAAACTTTATCTAAAAATACAACCAATCACATTCGTCGTTCTAGCGCGCTTTGCAACTGTCGTTATAAACATGTGAATCGACTTCCGGCAATGCTCGTTATGTTTACAACCGTTTGCGTTTATCTTCGAGTTTATAAGTTGAATTAATGAAAAATAAAACACAAAAAATAAAACACAAAAAAAAGAAGAAAAAGGTGTGCGTTTTGATAATGCTTAGATGCGCATTTTTTCGCACTTCTCCTGATCAATCGAGGCGCGCCATCGCGCGCGCGCGATCGCGCACCTTAAAACACAAGGGCTGCTGTCAGTGCATGTTTTAAATGCGTCAACATGCCGAACTGTTGACCTTGCGGCGTAAAGTTTTAAGAGCCCCCCCCATCACAGCACCAACTGACCAGAGCCATCCGGCAAGCGCATCGGGTGGATAGCTTAATTCCACACGTGGTAATTCAGATATTGAGTAAACTCTTGTGCGATGTGATCCGATTCATCGCGCTTCTTACCCGGTATTGGTGTGGCGGCACATTTACAGGCAATCTAATTCTGAACGACTGCTGGCGTGGTTGGAGCACGTCACGTGCCAGCGCACTGTGAGGCAGATAAAGCAGCGCTTCGAACTGTCGTACAAAAGTCACGAGTGTTGTGCACTTCTGCAAGGGGAAAAATCCATTATAAAAAAATCTACATAAACTAAATTACTATAAAATATATGATTGTGAAATCATTATTAATAAAGAAATAGAAATTGAAGCGAATTATTGCAAATAGTGCTGCTGCTGCTAATGATGATGATGATGATGATGATGATGATGATGATGATGATGATGATGATGATAATGATAATGATGATGATGATGATGATGATGATGATGATGAAGATGATGATGATGATGATACTGTTTACACTACTGTTATTACCACGACTATAATGTTGCTAATGCTGCTGCTGCAGCCGATTATGCTGTTCCTGCAGAAGCTGCTGCTGTTGCTGTGGCTGCTCTAACATCTCACAGGTTACGACATGGTGACAATATGTTGCATCAGAATAGCTGAGCAATAAAGAGGTTGAAAACTAACCATGTGGAATTTTCTGTGGCTTACCTTAATGTAGAACGGTTTGGTGTCTATAAGAATACCAGGGTTGAACTCTTTTAGCTTCATGCACACCTGCATGTGATGGGTATAGTGAATTCCATTTATTCTCCTGCTACCTGTCATTCAGCCAAAATATATATTGTCAATAATAATATATACATTTTACAGTATTGCAATTATAATGATTATTTTAATTATTAAATATAGAATATATATTATTAATTATATATGAGAAAAAGACAAATTTTAGAATAGTGATTCCAGACCAACCTAGCTCTTGCTCCCTTCTTCCCTATTACGCAGCTAAAAATGTGAAATACCACGGCAACACTAAAGGGAAGTCGTCATGAGCTATACTGGGAACACATAGTTACTCGGATATATATATTAGATAAGGATCTTATTATGAACAGTGACAGTAAACACATGGTTACTCAAGTGAACTAATCACAAACTGTGCACTGAATTAAAGTCTTTTAGGCAAATTTATGTTGAACGTCGTAGGATATTTGATCCATGAACAATAACTCATTGTGGACCATCCTAGGAAGACATTAATTACTTGGCAAACTTACCAGGGAGTGCCACCGGTGGTACCTTTGACCGAACCACATAGGCAAAGACCAGCCGATAGCAAGTGGCAATGCTTTCTGCCTTGTCAAGCATTTTACATGGCACTTCAGCAATCAGCAAATCGTATTCTCGTGGGTACTGCCACTTTAGAAAATCCTCTTTGGTAATTAGCACTGCAATAGTAAAACAACAATCTTTACTGTATAAAATCTCGACATAGTTAACATGAATTACATCGCAGTGCTCTCCTTTCCTTTTCTTTTTTGTGTTGCTTTCAGGTATAAGCGACATATGGTATCAGTCAAACCTGCTTTAGCTGTTACTTCTATAGAATAAATGACCACCTGTCTAAAAAGAGCAATTTTGGCATTTGACTTGAGTGGTGTTCATACATAGGTTTGCCTGCATACTGAAATTTGAGATTATCAAACTGCTATTTGTATAGCATGTTATCTGTACCTTCACAATTCCAGACTGTTAGTCGAGATTTCGGCTCTTGACCGTGGCTTAAAACCTTCCATACATATGATTTGTTCTTGTAGTTACTTTTCTGAGCCTCTTTCCAGTCACGATAGATCTGAAAGAAATTACAACTCAGAGTGAGTATAACTCATCATGTGAATGGATACACAGAGCACCACAGTTGTATTCACAATGTGACGTGACACATCCGGCAGTCAAATTACATTTTTTAGACCAAGTCAAGTGTAGCCTCCCGTTCCATTGGAAACTTTAGCATGTATACCACTGCAAGTTGGGAGATCACAAGACAAATATTTTATCCACAGTACGGTTATCAAGGGTACATACATTGAACAACACTTAGGGATTGAATGCCGGACAAAAGGGTATTCGTACACAACACTGAATTTATAGGATGCCCACAGAGGCTAGCCCCTTGGACAGGCATGGTGGTTTTTGCCATTAGATATCATCTAATTTTAGAGGCACCAGGGGTGGATAAAAGGGTAACCAGGTCACTTGCCTTCAGTGCCGTGATGAAATTTCACGGAATCACAAATCGCGATCAGTGGCGACTCTGCAATACCTTGCACGTTTCACATTATTGCCGGCAAACGGGAAAAAGTTACCAATCACTGTGACGAAAAGCATTTAGTGTGTCGAAGGCATTACTCACTGCTTCCCACGTTTCGCACAGCATACAGGGCAGCAAGCTGTACACGTAGTCGTCATAGCTGATGTAAGATTCCAGCACGCCGAACACCATGTCAAAACGCGAGAGCAATGGCGGCAGTTTGTTACTGGATGACTTGGCTAAAATCAAACCGAGTAAATCTCATTAGATGGTTGTAATAACATTTATAACAAGAGCAATCGGAGATAGCAAACCTCCGCCACAGCGTAACAGTCCTCCGATCTTGCTGGTACACCCATTATAGTTTGATAAAATTTTCAGAAATTTGGAGGAAATTTTAATGAATTTTGAATGCGTTCGAAGTTTTCCCAACAAATAGGGGGGGGGGAATCCTGGATCCAGATCTGGATCCGGATCACCACCAAAATCTAATCTATTGGTTCTTGGCCCAAGACCAACCTGTCAAAATTTCATCAAAATCCGTCAGTAACTTTTTGAGATATCCTGTTGACAGACAAACAAACAACCCAACAAACAAACTAACAGGGACAAAAACATAACCTCCTTGGTTGAAAAATGAAAGATGATTACAGGGTTCTCCAAGCTTTTTCATTATAGCATGGGGGTGCTGCTCAGTGCTAGAGGGGTCTGGGTATGCCCCCCCCCAAATTTTTTCAATTGTAGAAGCTCTGAGATGCAATCTGGGACACTCTGTGTGTAAATTTGAAGCACTGCATGTGGGGTGAAAATGTTTGTTTTGCATGGGCAAATTCAAAATAATAATGGAATAAAAATACCAAAATGTAGGGGTGAACTTGCTGGTTTGCTAGTTCCAAATCGAGTTCACCTCTTATAAATCAGAAAACCTGACATATACCAGTGTTGGAAATAGCAGCTGGTCCCATAGTCCCTGACTGGTAACTTGTCAGCAGGGCTGGCTACTTTTGGAGGACTGGCTAATTTTCAAGAAAATTACTGTAGCTTAAATTGCAGATTTAGAAATTTTTGGTAAGTGTACCAGTCTACTCTACCTCGTGTTAGACTGGGTTACCTGCCCCGTAACAATGCCGTTGGAAATTAATTCACGATTTAATTCACGATTAAGATTTCTTGATGAGCTAGAAAACACTCGGATTTGAAGTATGAAAATGAACATTATTGTGCCAGCTAGCCTACACCAGTTGGTTGGGATTGATTGTCAGTTCAGATGCAAAATATTGAAAGCAAAAGATTATACACCATAGATTAATTGGGTACTATAACACGCGTATATATATAAGATAGCCGAGTCGGTTTAGAGTTAGTGTTAGGTTTGGGTTAGGGTTAGGGGTAGGGTGACTGTTTGTACTTGTGTGTGGGACTGCCGTACGCGTAGCCTCGAGACATGAAGAGCCTCTGCATATAAACAACGTGTATTAATTGTTTGAACTTCTTGTGTATACACCAGCATGGCGGCTATGATATTTAGAGTGGCGAGTGCATTTTAGGATGGCGGGGCTCGACGATAGCCTGGCGGGCCGCCAGGCTATAAGTGCTCTTGGAGAACCCTGGATTAGAAAAAGCGAAGTATAATACTGCATGTATGCAGTGTTTTCCCTGCATTGACACGAGCGAGGCGAGCCGCCTCGCTCAAATTCTCAGCCACCACACAGAAATTCGTCAAAAACAATCAAAACAATCAAAACAAGAGTCTCATACAATGTGTATAGAATAGCTTAGAATGCACCAAATTGCACCATTTTTCAAAAATTCACCGGAGAAGCATGCCCACTGACCCCCTAGCTTGGCCAGCACCTGCGCTGCTCGCTTTACTAGGACCTCGAAACGCACAAACACATCACAAAAAACATTTACCACCTCACAGGCCTCTTTGGCCAGGGGAAACACTGTGTAGGCCTATGTTATGAGAAAATTTCGAATTCTGAGACGTCTTCGGCAAGTAGAGAATGGTGGGAAAAAGGCTGGCAACCTTTGATCTAGAATGGCTGTATGGCTAGTGAATAAAACCTGTCAATTAATACTATAAATGCACTACATTTAACTAAGTATCATCGATCTACTGGCAATATCAATAAACATACTAGCTTCCTCCTGCTCCTTCAGCCAAGCCGAATTCCATGTGAGCACATTCTTCAGGTAATAATCAATGTTCATTTCCTCCTTAGGCATAACAGCAACCTCGACCTGGTGCTGCAGCGCGCGTTGCTCGATGGAAATTTTCTGGCGACCAGCGACATCTGCAGCACGGGCGCCACCAGGTGGCAGGTCATTCCTGCTGACGGGCAGGATCGTTCCGTGTGGCTGAATGACGATTGTCGGTTTCGGATTTTTGGTGGCAGCTTGTGGCAAGACATGACGACCAGGGTGTTTCTCTGGCAAGATAACCCTTCCTGGCAGTCGGGGATCTTTGGTAGCGCACGCTGGAAGAACAACACGACCCGTGTCGCTGCCGGGCACACTGACCCTTCGCGCGAGTCTCGGATCTCTGGGGCGAGCCAGCGACGAAATGCCGCGATTGTCTGCTGGGCCACCAGTGGGCGCTTGCCAATCTCTAGCCACACCTGCGACATAGGCGCGGAGAATGGTGGCAGCACCGGTGGCAGCGACGGACAAGTCACTGGCGGAGGGTGCAGTTGCCGGGTCGTTCGTCCGCCGCGACAACTTCTCTCGGCCAATCACGGTTGTCGCCATGCGATCCGCACTTCCCAAGCCCTGCGGCAGAGTGCGGGTGTGTTCTGTGTAGAATCCTAGCGGCTGTGCCACTACTGGCTCATTCTGTTCCACTACTGGATCTTGTTGTTCTAATTGTTTCACTGTTTGTTCCACTACTGCCTCTAGTTGTACCTCTACTGGTTCAGGATATTCAACTACTGCCTCTGGTTGTTCCATCACTCGATCTAGCTGTTCAACAACTGCCCCTGGTTGTTTAACTACTGCCTCTAGTTGTACTTCTACTGGTTCAGGAGGTTCAACAACTGCCTCTGGTTGTTCCACCACTCGATCTAGCTGTTCAACAACTGCACCTGATTGTTCAACTACTGACTTTAGTTGTGTCTCTACTGGTTTAGGATGTTGCACTACTGGCTGCAGCCATTCAGCAGCTGCCACACGCTGTTGCTCATTGCAACTGCTAGTGACTGCCTCAGCTACTTTGGCAACCGGACCTCTAACATGCGCACCGTCCGCTGGGAAATCAGTAGCAAGTGTGTCAGCTTGCAAGCTCTGCAGAAAGTCATCGTTCCTGGACTTGAAGCGCTGCTTTGCCTTGCTGGGTAGGGGTCGGTGGCCTAAACAGAAATATACACATTACTATGAAGTCTGCGTCATTAGAAAGCAGTGTGACTCATCAGTTACCACTGTAAGGTTTCGAGATTTTCATCTCAAACTCGAGTATTTCTTTAGAGACAGTTGTATAGTTCATGTCCTTGACTAAAGAACAATAAGACTGTTTATCTGAGTTTTGCTTGGGAAGTTATCAGTATCACGCAAATAACCAGAGTACCAGCATCTTATTCCACGAATCCTGTACGGTACCGCCGCATTACCGCGGTACAAACATGATAATCGTTAACTATTCACCACTACTTTGCAGGATTCACTACTTACCTGTCGAAAACCTCAATCGATTTCGCATCAGGTCTTCCCGTCCGCTGCACGTTGCTCGGACGTGAGAGGGAAGACTGACCTCATTGTGACCGGCACCGCGTTCTTGCTGCTGGCAAAGCGCTGCAGTCGGATTCACCTAGCCGCAGAAGATACGTTCTTGTGATAACTGACAGGGAGACTCGGTGATCATCGTCACCTACCGAAGCTCTCCCTCGCGTATCTTAGCTAGCTAGCATTGCATGAAATCATCACTATGGGCTAGAATATAGATGGCAGTCTACGAGGTACCAAAGGTGAGAAGTGTAGTATTGTACCTTGAAGACGAGTGATGCAACATTCAATATTGAAATAATGAAATAATGAACAATATAGGATAAAGATATCCAGGCAACTTTAGAAGTAGAACTAACAACAGGAATAAAATACCCGTGACACAATGCTAACTAACCCTATCTCTATATCCACGAGAAAAAAAAATTAGGAGAAGGTTGCTTTGACAGGAATAAAATATGTTAATGTAACACTTACCTTGCGAGCCAACATTTGCACAGGAATCCTACTTGCTTGGATGTGTGCTGTCAGTTTTTCCCGGAATGTACGACCACACTTCTCCTTCCGCTGATGCCTACGCCTACATCCCTTATTCATTTCTGTATCATCGCAGGACTTCTTTGGTTCATCTCGCCTTGTTTCGGCCAAATTCGAAGGAACACTGACAGACTCGGCCGACTCACAGTTCCTTTTACTTTTCTGCAGCGATCGCCCTAAAGCATGCAGCTTGCTTTCTCGTGGCCGACTGGGAATTAGTTGGGAGGTAGCCTGTACATTGTTCTTTCTAACCTTGGCAACGATCTCACATAGATTAGCACCTGTATTGGGGCTTGAAATGATGTGATGCATTCGCCTGTTATCCTCCGTAATTTCTTCATTTGTAGTCGAATCAGATTCAAAGCCAGCTTGATGGTCCTCCTGGAACTGACCTTCCACTTTACCATCCATATCATGCAGATTAATGCATCCCCGCTTGTCAATGCAATTCAGCCAGGAAGGAGGTAGCACTGGCACAATCACCTTCACTTTGACATTTTCTAGTTTTCGATCAGATATTTTCTCTTGTTCAATCAGCATCGGATTCTCCTGTAAATCGTCATCACTACTCTTACATTCACTCGCATCCACACGTCTTTTTTCGAAAGGAAAACACCCAACTGTTTTCCTCAGGCTTGCTTCTAAGTCTACATCTGGGCCATCTCTAAATATGATCATCGAGTCGCTACTTGACGTAGAATCAATGCGCACCTTACGACGGACGCCAGTGTTTTTCATACGACCCACGTATCGAATATTGCTGCCATCTGTACACGAATTGTCGACCTCATCGTCGCATTGGTCGCTTACGCGTTGGCAGACCGGTTCTTCGTGTTCGTGAAATGCAGGTCCTACGTTCAACTCTTCTTCGTAAGGAAGACCCGGCAGATCAATCACTTCCTTACGCTGGCTGTGGACCACACCATCCGTGAAGTCGCCAGAGATGTATCTCTTCTGCTCGCCGTCTGTGTCAGAATCCACGCCTAGCACAAAGCCCTGTGACTCCTCAACGTAAGACTCGCTGCGACCGGAGTCAACACTGATGACGCTGCCGTCGCTCTCATTTCCCTCGCCGCAGCATCCCAACTGAACCCGACCTGAGCTGGTAGTAGTCACACCATCTCCGTGATTTCTGGATGGCGGCAAGGAATCCGTATCACGACCGCAGGAAAGGTCCTCTAGACGATCCAGCAAGATACCCTCCTCGTCGTCGCTCGATATTAGTATAACTTCATCATCCTGCGAGAAGCTGAAGACGTCGTTCACGACTGCTGGTTTTTCTTGCGCAACATCCTCTATTTTCATGATAGAAGCTTTTAGTTCACGGGTTAGCGGTTCACTGTTCGGTTCCAGTGCTGCATCTTGAAGGTTTCTTGAAGGCTCCTTTCCTTCATTCACAGTTTCCGTTGGTGATGGCTTCTGTTTGTTGTTAAAGTGCGTAAACACAGAAAGCGCAGCATGCACACCTAGAGAACTTTCTACCGTAGGTTGAATTCGAAGACGAGACTCGTTCATTACGGCTTTCTTAATTTCTGAAAAAGGTATCTTTGTATACCTCTCTAGCTCTTGTACATCTTTAATAATCTGTTCCTTATCAGAATCACCTAGTCTGTGCTCTAGCCGCTTCAAGTTTTGTTGTTTGACATGCTTGTCACCTTCCTCGTTTTTTATGTTTTTTAGAACTCCGTTCCTATTGTCACTATCATAGACTTCTGCAGTTTGTACAGAGTCACGGTTGTCTGTGTTTCTATCACAACTATGAACCTTGGCTCTATTACTACTTGTAGACAGTCTTTCTACTAACAAGTTTGGATGCTTCATTTTCTCGCTATCGTCCGAGTATTCCGCAGTATTAAGAACTTTATCTATATGATTGATTTGTTTGTCACCTTCCTCATTTTTCATGTTTCTTAGAACTTCCTTTATATTTTCACTATTATATTCATCTGCAGGAAGAACAGAGACAGAGTTTTCTATGTTTCTGTCACAAGCAACCTTTGTTCTGTCACTACCTGTAGATGACCTTTCCCCAAAAAAGTTTGGATGTGTCACACTCTTGTCACTTGCATTTTTCACACTGCTATTTACATGAGTTATATCCTCCTTCACATGCTCATCTGCAGCTATTCCCCAGTCGGGTTTTAGTACTTTTCTATCACAATACGCAAACTCTCCATCGTCACTGCTTGTACTGTCGTCAATAATATTATTTCTTAATAGTTTTTGGCTCTGGTGATATTTGCGCTTCTGAGGATGTAATGGTGACAATGAACCATCGCTTGTATGTGGCAAAATGAAATCCTCTAAATTTGAAAAGCAATCCAGGCAACCAGGCTGTCTAGGACTGCAATGCTTTAACTTTGGCGAGTTGTCATTAACTCCAGGAGTTGTCTCCACTTGGTGCATCTGCTCTTCAGTGCTACGCTTGTGGAAGTCGGACACAGCCAATCTGTCTTTCCAACGGAGATCCTCATTTAGCAGAAAGCGCGTATCATCTACACGGCACAGAACCACCTTCACCACTGGTGTTCTAATCTCTGGCTCTCTAGATGCGAGCGAAGCCACCACCACCTTTTTGTCACTCTGACAATTTGAGAGACAATCATTTATGGTTTGGTCGTCAGTCTTTCCTCTCCTCATTAGTGCATCTAGCGACGGAAAGTCGGGAAGTGAATCTTCAGTCGAAACACAGGTGTCGTTGGTGAATCTTAGTTTATCTTGCTCGAGGCGTGCCCGTCTTCTAACTGGACTGCTTTGCTTGGAATGCTTGCTGCCCTCGACCCTGGCCTTCTTACTGCAAATGTTAGACTTCTGGCTAACACATTCTGCTTCTGCATTTTCTGTCTCGGGGAAACTTGACTCAGTATCAAATATATCTGATGGGAACCGAAGGGAGCTGTCAAGGGACTGCTTTTGACTGCTATGGCTAGTCCGGTGATGGCTCAAGCTCCTTGAATTACATTGCCCTGGACTAAGATACTTAAGTGTGCTGTTTAAAGACAAATATCTATGACGATTGGCACATTTTCCAACCGTTGGCACATTGCAGTTTCTTGGACTTTGCGAAGATATGCTATTGTACCTTGGTGCACTTGACTGGACCTTCACTGTCTCCTCGCATGAAGAAGATGATTTTGTACTTTGTTTGTTATTGTTTTTATTACCCAAAGCACCCCTTTGAAGAGGGCCGGTACCTTTGTTGCGTTTCTTCTTGGTCCGACATAAAACTTTGCCACTGACGTGTGATGACGATGAAGAGGACTTATAGGGCGAGAACAGCTTCTTGCTACCAGTTGACCCACTGCTCCTAAATATTTTCTGTGGGTCATCAAAATCCTCACCAGAGCTGGAGGAATCTATGTAGCTGGTTTTGTACCTGGGTTTCATCATCTCTATCTTGCTCAAGAACAGTTGCTAATTAGCAAGAATCTTTATACACTCCCGCATTGTGGATCCGGTATCCTAAAATGTAACACACAATTTATAAGCAATATTATAGATAGCAATTGTTAATCAAATATATTTAAAGTAACTTTACGTAATAGTACTATATATAATAGTACTATTGTAACTTGTGTATAAATATGTACATGCATGTTAGCCCGGCTAGGCTCTACAACTGTTGCCACGTATTGAAAAGTGAGAAGGCAACTTGTGGCTACATGTATGTTTACAATAATGAGCATGTACGTGCAACCACAAGCTACCTTCTCACATCTCACTACATGGAAAGAGCCGTACAGACTGGTCAGGCTAATGCATGTGTATATACATGTACATGTATATGTATGCGTATATACAGGGCCGGTGCTACCATTAGGCCAACTAGGCTGCCGCCTAGGGCGCAGACCTCAGAGGGGTGCAGTACTGACCTTTGAGGATCACAGTTTTATACAATAGATCCATCTGTGTAACTGCAAGATATTGTAAAGATTTCCAGGCCTGCATCAGTTAAAAGTTATGTAGATCTAGGCTAGTCTACATGTATATAATATATTCACTACTAAATTCTGGGTGTTTGATTTATAGATGGAATTAAAAAACACAAGTTATATTTCAATGCAAATCTTGTCTACGTAATTTCATCATGCTGACTTCACTTTCCTATACCAAAAACTGGGGTACAAGGCCAGCACCCCTAGCGGACGTGAATCTTAATATTGTTTTCAACACTAACAATAGCGATAGCAGTCTGATGATATCATAGGGTGACGGACGTCACAGAAAGAAATGACAGTTTGAGTATGAGGCCCAGGAAGAGGCACCACAAGATTCAAAGCAGATATTCAAAGTAGGTTTCTACTATGGTGTCTTAGACATGGCCATACAATCTCTTGAAGAGAGATTCCAACATCTACAACAATATAATTCCCTATTTGGCTTCCTGTATGATATATACAGTATAAAGAAAAAAATCTACTGAAGATGTACTTAAAATTAAGGGCTGCAAGAATTTGGAAAAACCATTGATGCATAATGGAAATAAAGATATTGATGCTGAAGATCTGTGTTGCAAACTTATGGCAATAGCTCGAAGACTTCCAAAGTCTATGCCGCCACGAGATGTACTTCTCTTTCTACTACAACTCCTGGATAATGTGCCTAATGTTTCCGTTGCTCCAAGGATCCATCATCCTTCTCACACTTCCAGTAGCAGTGGCAAGTCGTGAGCGTAGTTTCTCAAAGCTCAAACTTATAAAAACTTACATACGCTCAACAATGTTGCAAAAGAGACTAGATGGCTTGGCAACTATATCAATTGAACATGCCCAGGTATCAGCACTTGATCTGACTGAATTGGTGACAAAATTTGTAAATGAAAAGGCTCACAAAGTGAGATTTTGATGGGCCTGAAATTAAAACTTGTATTTTAACACAATTCACAAGATTATTACCTCCGACAAGGACTTAAGAGGGTAGGTTTTTAACCCCATTTGTCTGTTATTTGTTTGTTTCTGTCTGACTGTGAGCAAACATTGTCCTAACATGACGGGTTGCTAAGGCCAAGTAACCTTAAAAGGTATATGGACTTAAAGGTATGTGAAGTAAAAGGTTTTAATGTTGTGTTGCCCTTGGCGGAGGTATATCGAGTGCCCTTTAGTTAAAAATAATTTGTGTCAAAATGTTTTCTTTTGTATTTCAGAAAAATAATCAAAGATTGATGTGTTACTTATTCTTGCAATTTAAAATAAATTTAGCAGTTTCAAGTGTTGTGCTTATTATTTTTTCTACAAAACATCTGTTTTTGAAAATCAAAGTTGGCAATTTTTTTTGGGGGGGTGCAAGTATATAGTTGGCCTTGCCTAGGGCGCAAAATAGTCTGGCACCGGCCCCACGTATATAAACTAATAAATGTGTATCTGTGCTGTATGTTCATGATAACGAATGCAGAGGTAGTACTAGTATCCTGAGGTGGATATTAAGAAGAATATAAATATGTAATGTAATATTTAATGTAATATGTAATGTAATATGTAATGTAATATGTATATGTCATAAATAATAATGCAATATGTAATGTAATATTACTAAACTGTCAGAATAACATGACACAGGAAGAATAATCCTCTAAACTTACAACCTTAGGTACCTGTAACACGCCAGTATAAACATAACTCAGAGTGAAAGATAACACACATAGTTTATTCGTCCACTTCTTATTCCGCCATCTTCCAACTCCCGCGATCACACCACGTGACCCTTCACACATACAGGGCGGGAACACACAGAACAAGACTACGCGGTGTGATACAGTACCTATACCCTAGATACTATACCTATAGACACATGCCCGTTGCATAATAGTCAAGTATGACTATGGCGTTGGCAGAATCATCAGTATGTTGATCACAGGCACTTGAAATGTCTCAATAAAAAAAATAATGGTAAATAAACACGAAATGTATTTAGGCAATAATAGGCGAAATAGAGTAGAGAAACATTAAGACTTTGGTAGTAAATACATTTCGTGTTTATTTACTTCTTTTTTTTATTGCCAGGACGCTTCCACGTGCCTCGGTGGAGTGTGATGTTGCCAATAGGTAGAGAGCGCCTTAGAAAGAAGCAACTGAACGAAGGCAGTGGTTCTCTATGGAAGACCTTAGGATTTATTTTTATTTTTTAAGGGATTAACAGGCATTAAGCATTACTTTTATTAGAGCCTTGGGTAGGACTCGGTCATATGGATCAAATTATTTTCTTTTTTCGATCGATTATGATTTTTTTTTTTCGATATTTCGCATCCGATTGGATCGCATTCCGATTAATATATTTAATAAAAACATTGAGCCGTGAAAGTACAGTAAACTCATGTATTGTGTGTCTACTATATAAACTTGCATTTTATACATCGCTGTGCTTAAATACAAACATGGACGCGTAAGTATCATATTTATCTGAATTCAACCAGGCATTGACCTCGGCGTCGCGGCTCGATTGGGGCGATAGCCAGCAGGACATGCTTTTACGCGTAGACTCAGAATTTTATTTATAGACGATTCAGTGAGACAGGATACGCCACGCAGAGACAATAGAACACTCCACACGTTATTGATGATCTCTGTATGCAATGCGCCCGGACTACTTCCGATAATGGCGCGCGGCGCTCAGTCAAAAAGCTACCGATGCTCCCCTGGCTACATTTTAGCAAAAAAAAAAAAAAAAATCGGATCGCTATTTTCGATTTATTCGATACTCGATATCGAGCGCAAATCCATCGGCGATTGTATCGAGAGGTCGGGCATCGATGACAGTCCTAGGCCTTGGGGCCTATTTTTTGGGGTTCTTAAGGCGGACTACTTTTTCGTCAAGTTGACTGAATGGACGGCATGTTAACATTTTATCTACATTTAATTATATTAGACATTAATGGATATTGTTGGTGCTATATATTGTATAATAATTTTGTATATATTTATTAATATGTTTGCGCTATATTTGTACAATTTTGTATCCTGTATGTAATAACTTCTGTGTGTATATTTTGTTTGATTGTACTGACTTTGTTGTTAAAATAATACTTGCAATTCAAGCCTTCCGTCGGCTGTGAAAACGATTTTATAAAATAAGAAACCAGTCAATAATCATTAATCAATTCTGCATGAGCTATCATATGCCTACGTACTGCTTTTATTCTTTGAAACACTGACTGGCAGTGTGACTGCATTGAACTGAAAGTCAAAACACGTTTGAGTTACCACATTATCAAGCTCATGTGATGTCATATACATCAATTTCTAGAGCATGAAACAGAAGTGTCCGCGAAGCGACCAGCGCGCTCATCTCAACGTCTACTCCCGTAACCTGTGTGGAGTGGTGGGATTCTAGGTAAACCCTGATTAGTCCCAATGTTGTTCACATACGCGCCGAAACAGTGCGAAGCCACGGGTACGGGGTAATCAGGAACCTTCTCAAAGGAATGTTCGTTGGATCGTTTATGAAGTTGCCACAAGATCGCGCACATACGTTTTAAGTGTCTTGAAGCATTACAAAAGATCCGGAAGCCCCAATCGTACCGTGTGTAGTACCAACAACTAATTGCAAGACAGAATAGGCATAAGCAGCTCATCCACTTTAGGGCCTACGCGCAAGCCTACAGGCTGAATAACGAGCTGCCACCTGCTAACTACATTGACGCAGGCAAAAACTACACAGTACTATCACCACTAACATGCACTGCGCAGTGGCATAACGTTACATGTAACACACTGCACAGTAACAGAACTGCCATAGAAATTATACGATTTAAGGAGCATAAACCGACTTCATCTCGTCACGCAATAATTACTCTAAATTTCACTGTGACATTGTAAGCCTGGT